GGGGTGAACCTCTCTAAAACATTGAATAGAAAGTGTGAAAATCTGAGTTAGCTTTTTTCCTCGACAATGGGTGATCATCTTGAGCAGGTTCGACTGTATCTGCAGAGAAGATTTATAATATAATATAATACAAGATATATGATATAATATACGACAAGATATATAATATAATATACTACAAGATATAGCCAAAAGCTACCACAACTATTCTGTCAGTCTCAGTGCAACACGTTCTATTGTATGTTCTAGGTCTACAGAGGCCATTTTTAAAGATGATATAATACAGCTATATTATGACGCAAGGGGCTTGCTCTGTCTACTTCATATCACAGGACACGTGACATCACACAATCTTCAGTGTTTTACTTAAGTAACTCTGGAAGTGTTTCAAAAACAGCATCAAGTCTTTAATTGTTTAATTTGGTCATTTTTCTATGTGATGTTCTCCATCTCTTAACTCTTTATCTCCGGCAAGCTTCTCCCAGCGGCTCGCTGTCGGAACCACTGTGTCGGTGTGTCGCTGACAGCAGCTCAGACACATTCCTTTACCACGACTTGTCAACATCAATATTACTTTACTGCCGAAAACAGGTCTCTTTACTGGAAGTTCATTCATTATATGAAGTACTATCATAATATGTTCGCCAGTTTCGATTAATGACCCATTTAATGACATTTTTGTCATGTTTAAATTTAGTACCAAAAAAGGGACCCGGCATAGTGGGTTAATCCCCCTCGGAGATAAAGAGTTAACAATACAAAAGAAATTACGTTTCATTAACTAAAGAGTTCAACATGGCATACACTTTGGGATAACTGTCTTCTGGAAAACACACAGGAATTTACTTTTCTATTTTCCTTTGACAAATATTCCAAAATCAAATCTGTCAAAAGTAAAAAACACCACACCCGCGTTGTAAGATGGTCACAAACTAGCTAACTTCTTAATTTTAGAAAGAGTTTTACGGCACTTGCAACACAATACGGTATATAAGTGCCGAAGATTAGAGGTGTTACAAGAGTTTAACAAACATAAAAAAGAAGGAGGAGAGATAAAGACGATAGTCGTTGGATAGGAAAGAAGGAGCAAACCACACCAGAGCACCCGCCAACCACCCACAGCAAACTTATGTCTTTAAAAAAATCTCAGCACTACAGAGAATCCTGTACACAAGAAAACTCGAGACAACACTCGCTAAACGTCGCGACAAACGACGCAAGCCTCCCCTCAGGAGTATTTCTTCGCCAGTCCCTCCATTATCCTCAATGTGGAACTTTTATATCCTCCTCCAAAGTGGTTCCTGGCAGACACAAAGAAAAAGCAAAATGAAATACAACAATTTATTTGTGTCCCGACGCGATGGAGTCAGGCGCTCGTCAATTTTGGGCATATCAAGTTATTGGTGTAAAATCTTAAAAGCATTTTCATTTATCTTGCTTTTAAAGAAAAAAAAGTATCTGTTTATCTTTAATATTAATAGAAGCCAAGAAATGTGCAATTGAAGGAGGTGGGGGTCACGTGGTTAGAGAGGTACAATTAGCCAGAAAATGGCTGCCAAAGTTTTGTAACTTCAATAGCTTGAGAGTCCTTGAAAACTGAACATTTACATATTTTGTGCCTTCAATCACTGCTTTTCAGTAAAATTCACATAGAAATGAGCTTTTATATTGACATAAATGGTGCTGAGCCAAAAAACACAAATCTGATAAAAGTGGCGCAAATGCATGTTTCTTAGAATTCATTATTTTGACAAGCACCTGATTTCACCACGATGCCTCACATTTGTTCTTTACTTGTAAGTGAATTCAGCATCAAATCAGACACAAACAGCATCAGCTACAGGGAAGTCATTTCAAGATTGCAGCACAGGGCCCAGCAAGGAGAGTGATGGATGGAAGAAAAAAGGAAAGAAAGAAGGACACCACAAGTTAGAACCTTTTTTTTTTTGAGAACTACTTTACCTTACTTTTCACAGCTCATTCAGTCACAATCGGTCACTGCCACAGACAGAAATGTGTCAACGAGAGAGTCAGGCAGCCAACAAAATACCATGTTTGCTCCTTCTTTCCTATCAAACTTCTATAATCCTATTCTCTCCTCCTTTTTTATGTTGATTACTCTCTTCTAACATCTCTAATTTTCGGCACTTATATGACCTTATTGTGTTGCAAGTGTCGTAAAACTCTTACTAAAACTAAACACCCACCCCTCCCCCCTCCCCCTTCCTTGAGGGCACACAGACAGGGAAGATGACATTTCAACAAGTCAGCCAAAGGAGTTATCACGAAGACGCACAAGTCTTTGGTTGGAAGAACACACAGCCACAAAACTACCACTTTTTTGGGGGGTAAGTGAAATAGTGGAACATCATGTAGAGATCCTGTCTGTCTCTATGGTAACCTACCAGTGGTGGAAATAGTGGAACATCAAATAGAGATCCTGTCTGTCTCTATGGTAACCTACCAGTCTCTATGGTAACCGACCAGTCTCTATGGTAACCTACCAGTCTCTATGGTAACCGACCAGTCTCTATGGTAACCTACCAGTCTCTATGGTAACCTACCAGTGGTTGAAATAGTGGTAGCTGGTGAAGAAGTCACGACCAAAACCTCCGAACATGTTGGAGATGGCGAGGTCGTACTCGGAATGTCCGTAGAAAGAGGCGGGGTCAAAGACAACTGTTGAGAGACAACACACTCTTTGATTGGATGGAGAAAGAAAAAAATAAAATAAAAATTAACCGTACAGGGTGATTCAAAAAGATTGAACGATTTCATTTTGTAATACTTTAATAAGGAAAAGCAATAAAGAACACACACACATACAAAAATATGCATACACAAATGTACACTAACAAACTCATCAACAAAACAAACAAGAACCAAAACCTCCCAGCCCCAGCTGTACCGTTTTCTTTCCCCCCTCCCCCCCCCCCCCCCTTTTCCCCTGACCTCCCCCCCCCCCCCATTCCCCAGGCCCTTTTCCTTTTTCACCTGACCCCCCCCCCCCCCCCACCACTCACCTGGCCCGTCTCCCGTCTCCCCAGCGTTTCCTCCCCACAGGTCCCCATGTACCAGCGAGGGCTCCACCACGACGTCCTTGAACAGTTTGGGCAGACTCGGCACCAGCGTCGACCACAGGGTCCCCACTTTTCTGTCGTTGTACTGCGGATGGAAGATAAACTTTAGTTTAGTTTTAGTAAAAGTTTTACAGCACTTGAAACACAATAAGGTCAAAAAGTGCCTAAGATTAGAGGTGTTACAAGAGAGTAATAAACACAAAAAAGGAGGGGAGATAAGGATGATAGATTTTTTATAGGAAAGTAGAAGCGAAGCACACCAGAGCACCCGCCAATCACCCACGGTTTGTCGTGACAAGGTAGAGGGAAGAAGGAAAAGAGGTAGACCGCGTACATCCTACTTTTAAAATAAGTTTTAGAAGAGTTTTTACCACACTCACAACTGCATAAGGTCATATGAACACCAAGGGGTGGATGTCAACAGAGAAGTCCTTACAGGGAATCAGACTTACTCTGCTCACCTCTCTAGCCTAAACAGCACAAAGTCTGCTTCGATTATCAAGGCACCCCGGAAATAGCAGTTCACAAGAGAGTGACAAACATACAAACGAAGTAGAGGAAAAATGACGATAGTAAGGATTAGGAAAGAAAAAGCAGCAGTTCCTTGTTGCAGTTTAAGCACAGTTATGAGAATGACATTGATAAATCCGCCCATTTACAATTCTACTGTGCATAAGAACATGTTAATATCCCCCCTTTGGGAATGGCCTAAATACACTTCAGTCAGTAGCACTGCCCTGGGGGGGCGGGGGGGTACATGAAGGAAAAGAGGTAGACAACGCACGTACATTTCACCATGCTGCCTCACACACACACATATGAATATGCACGTACATTTCACCATACACACACACATATGAATATATATATATATATATATATATATATATATATATATATATATATATAAACTGGGACAGCAAAGCATCATCTTATCTTACCTTATCTTATCTTGAACACTAAAATCTTCTGGCAAAGTAAAACTAAATCATTACAGAACAGGGAATGGTGAGAAAGACAAAGTCTTGTCTACACGCACAAAGGAAGTGAACCAAGACAAGATACATTCACAGCTCAAGGAAAAGATGAGAGGACAAATTTCTCTGAGCTGTGTCACCCTAAAACTCTGAACTGACGCTGTGAAGAACAAGTAGGTCGCAAACATTGGTAACTTCCCTGACTGTTTTAGTTTTAGTAAGTGTTTTATGGCACTTGCAACACAATAAGGTCATATAAGTGCTGAAGATTAGAGGTGTTACAAGAGAGTAACAAACACAAAAAAAGGAGAGATAAGGAGGATAGATGTTTGATAGTAGAGGAAAGAAGGAGCAAACCACACCAGAGCACCCACCAACCAGCCACTCTCTGACTGTGACATCACTCACCTTCTCTTGAGCCCACTTCACGTGTTGGTCATGTCTTGGTAATCACGCAAAATTACTGACACGTGTCTTGGTAATCACGGAAAATTACTGACACGTGTCTCGTTAATCACTCACTGACAATCGCAACTGTCTCGTTAATCACGCAAAATTACTGACACGTGTCTTGGTAATCACGCAAAATTACTGACACGTGTCTTGGTAATCACTGTAGATTCTTGGCTTCTCTTTGGAGGGGAACGAGACCTAAAGACACAGACAGATGTAAAGGTGACACTTATCAAAGAGCACTCAGTGACACAGCGACACGTAGACAGACGTACACAGCGACAAAATGACACAGCGACACAGTGACAGGTAGACAGACTCACAGGCCACGTGTCCGACCACTTGTTCTCCTGGGGGAGGTAACCACAGCACGTGGTTGTCGGGAACCCAAACTTGTCCGTGTAGCAAGAGTAGTTCCCCTTGTGAACCGACTGCTCCTTCTGTCTCGCCGTCTTGCCCAACTCGGAGTTGTGCAGGTGAAGTCTGGGAAGGACAGTGACAATTGTCAAATGTTCACATACAACTTAATACAAATGGTCGCTTTTAAGGATAAGTGGGCTAACCCAGATTTTGGGGGTTTCCAGAAATCTTGACCTACACCAAAAGTGGGCATTGCCCTACCTATAGGAGAAGTTTGGTTTCATTGGTGTGTATATTTGTTTGGTTATAGAGAAAACTCTCCTTGTCTTTTAAAGAAACTGAACAAGGGTCCAAAAACTTTACCTTCAATTTTCTCAAAACAGCATTTTTAGGGATAGCCCTCTTGTGCTTAAAAGCGACCAATTTTCAAATGTTCACGTACAACATAACAATTGTCAAATGTTTACACGTACGACTTAATACCAACATAACAATTGCCAAATGTTCACATATGACTTAATACCAAGGAGACCACAGCTGTTTTGGAAAAGTTTCATCATGCCAAGCTTTGGACTTGACTTGCTGAGTTTGAATAGTGGCTCCGCAGGACAAAATGTATGCTTGGGAGAGACAATCCAAACAAAAACACTGGGTATAGAAAGTTAGGAAAAACAAAAACACTTTGTGTAGAAAGTTAGGAAAAACAAAAACACTTTGTGTAGACAGACAGTTAGTCACACAAAAACACCAACTACACCAGACCCCACAAGGAGAGTACCTGGCCATCTGCTCTCCCAGTTTCCTGGCGTGTCGTGACAAACCACGGATGTCAACGTACTCCATGACCAGCACCGCACCACCTCGGGGGTTACTGATTACCTAGAGAATGTCTCAGTGACAGGTTACTGATTACCTAGAGAATGTCTCAGTGACAGGTTACTGATTACCTAGAGAATGTCTCAGTGACAGGTTACTGATTACCTAGAGAATATCTCAGTGACAGGTTACTGATTACCTAGAGAATGTCTCAGTGACAGGTTACTGATTACCTAGAGAATGTCTCAGTGACAGGTTACTGATTACCTTAAAATGTGGCACAAGAAAAAATAAATAAACCCACCTATACAATGCCACAAAGAGGCAAAAACACATAAATAATGACACAAGGAGAGAGAAAATAAACCCATTTAAACACAAGGAGAAAAAACCCCAATGTGGAACAAACCAGCCGTCATCAGAAATCGAAAAGAAAAGATTGACATAGTCGTTTCATTATGTGTCCATACTACTACCAATACCACTACCAATACCACTACCAATACTACTACCAATACCACTACCAATACCACTACCAATACCACTACCAATACTACTACCAATACCACTACCACTACCAATACTACTACCAATACTAATACTAATACCAATACTAATACTAGACACAGCACCATCAGAACAGACAGCGGTCTGAGCGGCTTTCTATCTCACACTGTGTTAAGGGGAACATTAATTCTGCCAGTGCATGCTGGAAAAAGCTGATTGTCATTATTTTCATTACTTTAATTTTGTAACTATGATTTGATGGCTTTTTAAAAAATTCCTATTTTATTATCATTATCATCAATATTTTTAGGTATAATTTATGTGACTATCGGCATCGTGAGCCAAACCCTGACTGGAATTTCCAAAGCTGTTGCTGTCTAAGCTGCTTCCTTACGGTAACTATTTACAACGAAAAAAAGTTTCATTTAATAAAATAACCAAATATGCTCGCTTTTTCAGCATTAAAAAACATCAGATGATGACAAGGCAAGCAACAAAAGAAACAATAGACACAGAGTTCCCAGTTCTTTGCCTCACCAAGAAAACTATTGAGCTGAACGGAACATAGAGGAGGACAACACATTCTCCTTACTTTGATGGGTGAAGGAACTTTCACTGTGTCTGTTGATTTCAAAGCAGCCAGACTCTCAAACTCCCCCTCAAACATCCTCAGAGCCTGGGACCGGAGGAAAGTCATGGGTTGTAATATAAACCCGGACACAAAACCTTATCCGACAGAACTGGATCAATTCATGTTTCCATGGTTATATGTGAGGCAGCGTGGTGAAATCAGGCGCTCGACAAAATACCGGTAACTAAATCGGAGAAACAGGCATTTATCCGCTAGTTTGGAAATTTTAATCTAATTTTAATTTTTTTATATCCGCATAAAAACAAATTTCCATGTGAATTTTTCTGAAAAACACTGATTAAAGGCACAAAATCTGTCATTTTCCAGTTTTAGCCATTGGAGTAACCAAACTTTGGCGGCCATTTTCTCGCTAATTTCACAACTCAAACAAGGCGACATCATTTCCTTCAAATGCTGACATCTTGGGTTCTATTCAAGATAAACAGATATATTTATTTCGTTGGAAGCAAGGCAAATAAATCAGCTTTCAGATGATACCAATAACTCCACAAGCCCAAATATTGACGAGCGCCTGATTCCACCACGTCATGACATAATTAATGTTTTCATGGTTATATTCCCCAAGATGCAAACTGCACTTTCAGAGCAGAATTTTTGTGTTAGTGAAACAAAGTTGAAGATGGTGAAAAACAAGGGCTGCCTAGGGAGGAAACTACAGTGTTCACAATAGGTCACTTTTAAGGACAAGCGGGCAAACCCAGAGTTTGGGGGTTTCCAGAAATCTTGACCTACACCAAAAGTGGGCATTGCCCTACATAATTATATGAGAAGTTTTTTTTTCAGTACGGGGTTTTACGGCGCTCGCAACTGCATAAGGTCATATGACCGTGCGAAACAAGTTGGTTTACTAAAAGTTTGGTCTCATTGGAGTATATATTTGTTTGGTCGTAGAGAAAACTCTCCTTGTCTTTTATAGAAAATGAATTTATAAGGATCCAAAAACAATACCTTCGATTTTCTCAAAACAGGAATTTTGGGGATAGCCCCGTTATGCTTAAATGAAAGCGACCAATTATCTGGCGCAGAAAGGGCCTGAACAAATAAACAATATGCTATAAATAGATTGTGAAGCGCATATAGAGCTGGCTGTTGAGTGGGGATTTGCGCTATACAAATGCTATCTATTATTATTAAGTGTATTAAAGGTCATGATGATCACAGAAAAAAAGAAATGCTCTAAGTGTATGTTCTCTATGTGTGTGTTCACAATGAGTATGTTCTCTATGTGTTTGTTCACTAGGAGCAAGATGGCTGGGTGTATGATCGCTGTGTGCTATATGAGCATGCTACATTGTACTATGTTGTACCTCAGATTTGTCATTGAATTTGGCAAAGACAATGCCAGAATCAGTTTCGTATGCTGTTCCATTACTGATGCAACCTCCTCCTCCCTGGCCGGTGCTGCGAAAGACTGAGGTTCCAAGCTCTTGTTTAATAAGCTCCTCAATAGATCCCATCTTCACACTTCAGATCAGGGAGAATAACCCAAATATGCTGTAATATTAAAAAAGAGAAGAAAACGCATTTACAGCCCACAATGAATCCCACTTCCCTACTGTAGAGAACTCTTCAGTTAATATTGATTTATTACTAACTATGACAAGGTGTCACCAAAGAACAAAAATAATTACTCATTAACCATTTGCATTTTAAGTAAAAAGTGGTGGCATATGATCTTCGATACATTCATGAATCTTGATGAGCATTTCTAAACCTCAAACTTATCATAAGCTACGAGAGCTTTATCAGGCTAGTTTGGTAAGAGGTTGAATAATATGTCTAAAAGGAAATAGAGTTTCTGCTGCACTCTTAAGTCTTAAGTACACATCGCAAGAAGACATAGGTTGACTTTGAGTATGCCTATTTAGTTTTAGAATATTATGTGACTGTGACTGAGACTTAATAGGCCTAAAACCTAAACGGGGTTTTCATTGCGGATGAGTCGGAGGCGATCGCCCCACTGATCGCCTGAAAACAAATGTTTGTGCCACAATAGCAGTTTTGCGCCCTCAATCTGGCAAGCAAACCGCCCACAACCCGACCCCTCCAATGGGCACCCCGCCCAAATAAAACGAAATACTTTTAGTGATGTTAAGTTCTTGTAGAATGTCAATAACATTTACATGGACTCCATCTAGAGTGATCACAATACTATACTCTGTTTTCATCTATAGATCCTTTTTTCTCTCTTACATTGTGATAACAGAGTCCGTTGTGATAATTATCTTATATTTATATACAGCGTTACTTTTAATACTTTTATCCAACATATCAATTTAATTTACTACTATACAGTTCAAGTAAAGTCAACTACATTATACAACATACAATGACAATATACAATTACGTGGATTGCAGCAACTCAATTTCAATCATTTTAAGCTACCTATAGCGTCTATACTATAAAATATATCTAGATTCTAGATCAAGATTAGATTCTAGAACCAGCACAAAAATACGGGCTGCACCCAGCTGGGTGGATAGCGAGAGAGTTTTTCCTATCACACTTTACAGTTTTGAGGATTTCCTCCCCAGAGAATACTCTTCCAGGGGCCGTTTTTCCGTACAGGTCTGGGGTAACCGTTGTTGTTTTTGGTGTTGGTTTTTCCTCCGTGTGAAGTCAAGGCAAGGAGAATACACAGTTATGTTTACTTCGGTAACTTTCGTTTTCTTTCAGAATCGGAAATTCCCAATTCCAAATGTATATCTCCAGATTAACTTGCAAATTTCGCCAAATTTAATATTTACTTGTTCTTTACTTTTTCCTCCTCTGCAAGTTGACGATAAGCGTCGAGGGAGATGCAATTTTCTATGGTAGGCAAAGATGAACTCTATTATTTTTAAAAGAAGATAACTCTATGGTGGTAGGCCAGCTCTGCAGTTCTTTCAATTGGGATATCACACCTCAGGGTTTCATTGACACCCTCAATCCACCGTTTGCGTGGCCTTCCTCTTCTTTTGTAGTCATGTAGCCCGAGTGCATAGTATACCAGCAAGGCTAGCATGAGGCTGGTCGGCAAGGTGACATACGTGAGTAGCACCGGCCAAAAATTTACTGCATTATGTAGTAACCATTCCCATGATACGAGGTTCACATATTTTAGTAAGATTTTTATAATACTTCCAAAAAGCGTCAAAATAAAAAGATATTATCCAATCTGGACACATAAATTCTGGTCAAGGGACACTACTCTTAATAATAAACTTATTAAAGATGGCCGCGCCCTGTAAGCGACGCGGAGATGCTCTTGAAGATGAAAAAATCTCTCACAAAAAGCGAGCCACTGATGATGCTTCGGACAGGAAACTTGATAAATTTTTGGAATGGTGCAATAGAAATGATTTTAAGCTGTCGCACAAGGTTTGATACTTCCTCAGTTTTTTAATGTTTCGAAATCCATAGATCTAGATTTCTAGTACGAGCTGTTTGGCCAGCCAGTGTTTTCGCTTCCAATGTGAATGATCTCTCCTTTCTGTCTCTCCTACACTACACACTCTTTATCTCTCTCTATCTCTCTTCCTCTTTCTCCCGGTAAGATTGTTCTTTACCGGACCACGGGTTGCTGCCGGTCGGGACTACTTTCGCTATGGCGCCCCTTGGGCCTTGTGCCTGTTCAGCTGTTGCCTGGTGATCCGACATTCTTCCTTCCCGGGCTCCCCTACTCACTCTCCTACTCACTTTCCAACGTCTTCACCCTCCGACTGCCAACTGCCGACTGACGTCTGTTACCGTGATTTTCAGCCATCACGACCATGCCCTTTGACCCACAATGCTAATTGGTCAATCTAATCATGTTGTCCATATTCTTCTCGAAAGTGGGTATTCTCACCCGCCCGGAAGTTCTCGCAAGATCTACTCCTCCCCTCTTCTCTCTCTCTCTGTCTCTTTCTGAATA